GGTTGCATTTTGTTCCTTCTCATCATTTTGTGTAGCAGTGTCCTCTGCCCTTTGTTGTAGATCTTTGCTGTAGTTATAACCTTCACACGTACTGAAGTTAAGGTGGAGCTCTACAGAGTTTGGACTTATCCAGCTGCGTTTGGCTTAGGTCTGGCTGCTGTGCTCAGCTCCTTCCCGATGTGGACTAGGGCTAGGACTGGGTCTGGGCATTCCCGGAACTCGGCAGAAATTCTGGACCTGGGCTAGGACTGGGTCTGGGGGTTCCCGGAAGTCGGCAGAAATTCCTACTCCGCGGGAGGGGTGGGGAGGTAGGGCGGAGTGGTGGGGGGCGGCCTGAGGGGGAGATGATATCTCAATGTTGTTTTAATTTGCATTTCATGGATGGCTAGGGATATAGAGCATTTTTTCATACATTTATTAGCTTCTATAATTTTGTCCTCTGAGAACTGTATGTTCATCTTGGATGCCCATTTCTGCATTGGGTCTCTAAATTTTGGGGACCTAATGTCTTTTAGTTCTTTATAAATTCTAGAGAGCAGCCCTTAGTCTGAATGCTTATTAGTTAAAATTTTTTTCTAAATTGGTGGGTTGTCTTTTCACTTTGTTGGTAATTTTTTTGATGTGCAAAAACTCCTTAATAAAAGAAGGTCCCAGTTATTAATTCTTTCAAGTATTAAAAAGTACACATGCGATTTGATTTTTATTCATGAACTCTTTGCCTATCCCTATGTCTTCAAGAGTTCCTCCTACTTTCTCTTCCAGGAGATTTAGTGTTTCTGTTTTAATGTTTAGATCTTTTATCCACTTTGACTTTAGCTTAGTGCATGGTAATAGGCCTGGGTCAAGTTTTAATTTTCGGCATATAGAGAACCAGTTTTTTCAGCATCATTTGTTAAAGAGGCTGTCTTTGTTCTGGTGAGTATGTTTGGCCCCTTTGTCAAAGATAAGGTTGCTGAGTGTGTTTGTAGTACCTTCTGCATCTTCTAATCTATTCCGTTGATCCTCAGGTCTATTTTGTTGGCAATAGCATGCTGATTTTAT